ACTTAGCTGGGAGATGAACTCTAGTGGAGAAGTGTCCTAGAGGCAACAGGAAGTAAGAAATGGAAGCACAGGGAGCAGTCAGGGATTGACAAACAAATCGAATCCACAACATTTTGTGTATATGAAGCCATGAGGAGGATGTGAGCTCTTCAAGAAGAGCAAAAGAAAGACTTTAGCTAAGAATGTTGGAGACTGAGTTTGGAGAAGATTGCTAACTCTTGTTTAGCAGGAGGAAGAGGAGTTATGGAAGGAGACAGAAGTGGAACATTGAGTAGAATAGGAACACATGAATGGCATACACATCTAAGGAGAAGAAACTCTCAAGAAGGAAAAGACTGTTGTGTATAGCAGGACACCTCTCCCATCAGACTGTGTGTGTTCAAATTCTGCCTCTGTCACTTAGGTATATGTCATTGCAAAAGTTTTCTTTCTTTGCTCATCATCTGTAAAATGATGCTAATAGAATCTACCTCATAGGGATATGTTGAGGTTTAAATGAAAAAAAGTATGCAGAATACTTAGCATAGTACCTGGTGCTTACAAAAAATTAATAGATGTAGTTGATGACTTTTAAAGGAATAATAAAATGATGAGGGCAGTAAAAAATGCAAAGGGTTAAAGAAATGCTGAGCATTGAGAAAAAACAGTGGTTATAGAGAAGTTACAAGAGCTTCTTTGCTAAAAAAAAAAAAAAATTAAGACAGGTTAACAGAAATGTCAATGGAGTGAAGTAAAGACTTATTGGCTGTATATTGGCTAAAGCGTATCATTGTTATTGTCATAGAGCCTCTTTAATTAAGGTTGGACCATCTTTTCATTTATATGAGGTTATCTAAGAATTCAGAATAGAAATAGAACAATTGCACAACTAAAAGATCTCACCAAAATACATGGAGACAGGCTGGGTGCAGTGGCTCACACCTGTAATCCTAGCACTTTGGGAGGCCAAGGCGAGAGGATTGCTTGAATCCAGAAGTTTAAGACCGGCCTGAGCAACACAGCGAGAACTAGTCTCTACAAAAAATGTTTAAAAAGTAGGATGTGATGGTGCATCTGCGGTCCCAGCTACTCGGGAAGCTAAGGTGGAAGGATTGCATGAGCCCAGGAGATTGAGACTGCAGTGAACCGTGAGTCACTGCATTCCATCCTAGGTGACAGAGGGAGAAAAAAAAATACACAGAGACAGTAAAATGGTACAGTCACTGTGGAAAACAGTATGGTGGTTCTTCAAAAAATTAAAAGACAATTACTGTATGATCCAGCTATTCCACTTCTGGGTATATATGCCCAACAAAATTGAAAGCAGCTGCTTGAACATCTGTGTTCACACAGTAGCATTATTCACAATAGCCAAAATATGGAAACAACCCAAATATTCTTTGACAGATAAATGTGGTACGTATAACGAAATACTATTTGGCCTTTAAAAGAAAGGAGATTCTGACACATGCTACAACATGGATGGACTTTGAGGATATATGCTAAAAAAAAGAAAGCCAGACAGCCGGGCTCGGTGGCTCAACCTGTAATCCCAGCACTTTGGGGGGCAGAGACAAGTGGATTGCCTGAGCCCATGGGTTTGAGAGCAACGTGGACAACTTGGTGACACTGCATCTCTACAATAAATCAAAACTTAACTGCATGCGGTAGCGTGCACCTGTAGTTCCGGCTACTTGGAAGGCTGAGATGGAATGATTGCCAGAGCCCAGCAGGTTGATGCTGGGGTGGCCGTGAGTATGCCATTGCACGCGAACCTGGACGAAGGAGTGAGACTCCAGCTCAAAAAATAAAATAAAATAAGCCAGACACAAAAGGACAACTGTTGTATGATTCTACTTATATGAGGTACCTAGAGTAGTCAAAGTCACAGAGACAGAAAGTAGAATGGTGGGTGCCAGGAGTTGGGGAAAAGGAAGGAACAAGAAGTTAGTATCAAATGGATACAGAGTTTCAGCAGGTGAAGATGGGAAAGCTGTAGAGATGAATGGTGGTAATGATTGTACAACAATGTGAAGGTACTTAAGGCCACTGAACTGTAATTTTTTTTTTTTTTTGGAGGCAGGATCTTACTCTGTAGCTCAGGCTGGAGTGCAGTGGCATAATCACAACTCACTGCAGCCTCGACCTGTTGGGCTCAGGTAATCCTTCTGCCTCAGCCTGCCAAGTAGTTGGGACTACAGGTGCATGCCACCACACCTGGCTATTTTTTTTTTTTAATTTTTGTGGAGGTGAGGTCTTGCTATGTTGCCCAGGCTAGTCTCGAACTCCTGGGCTCAAGCAATCCTCTCAACTTAGCCTCCCAAAGTGCTGGGATTACAGGTATGAGCCACCACACTGGGCTTGAACTTTATTCTAAAATGGTTAAAATGATAAATTTTACCACAATAAAGGAATGCATGTATATATATGTATGTGTATGTGAAGACAATATGAGAAAAATAAGGCATTGACCTTTGCTAGATAAAATGGATTGAAAAGTCAGTAGAAACAACTTGTAAGAGTAACTTTTAAAATTATAAAATATTTCATACATACAAAATACAATACACAATGTAAATATAAAAAGAATGAAACAAACATCCAGAAGGTCACCATCCTGCTTAAAAACGTAGACTATTACTAACAATGTTGAGACCCCTATTTCCTCTCTCTAACGACAAACTTCTCACTCCTCCACCGGGGTAAGTGCCATTTTGAATTTGTGTTTATCTTCCCTTACTCATTATTATAATATTATAACCTACATATGTAACCCTAAACAATATATTGCTTTTCCATGCAGCATTGTGAGAGTACTCCATAGTGATATCTGTAGCATAATCACTGACAATTGTGCTATCTTCTCAATAATTGAAACATTTGGGCAACCCTCTCTCGGGCCTCCTCCCCTGCATGGTAACTTATCTGTCTTCTTAAGAAACTCCTGCTTTCTAAAAAAATAAAAAGTAAATTGAAGCTTTTATCATTATGTAATGACCCTCTTTATTCCTAACAGTGAATTTTGCCTTAAAGTCTCTTTTGTCTGGTATTAATATGTCTACATCAACTTCTTTTGGTTATTATTTGCTTAATTATATCCTTTATTGTTCTGTCTTTGTGTCTTTATGGGTTTTTTTTTTACATGTACTACCTATACACGTATTTTGATGGGCACTTTTAAGACCGTTTCTTTTTATTGTTATTACCGATATGTATGGATTATTTTCTATTGTATTATTTGTCCACTTTTCCAGTGCTATTTTCCCCTCTCGTCTTGCCTTCTTTTGGATTGATCAAGATTTTTGTGTTTTTTAAAAATTCCCTTTCTTCTCTTTACAGGTTCGGTGGTTATGTTACTTTTATAAAATTACTTGCATAATATGTTATAATACTTCTTTTCGGAGTCTAAAATTAATCATTATTTTATCCTCCTCTTTCTCCAAATTAAAGAAAAGCATAAAGTAAAAAGGTACCACCAATCTAAGACTGCTTTCATTTCTTGTCTTGGGATTTCCAGGCTGGTGTTGGCATAAATTTAAAACTGAGACTTAGCCTGTGGCTACAAACCCTCAGGGGACTATTACTCTCCCAACTAAAAGCATCAATGGAGACAAATTTCTTTGTTGCTTTTACCCCTGCTATGGGCAGATATTTTCAGTCTCCTCTTTTTACACTGAATGTGTAGTCTCATGGAATGGCTCAAGCTTAGGGCGAAGGGGAGTCCTTTAGTCCATTCATTTGCCTTCTGTGAGCCTTGTTCTCTACCCTCCTTGCCTGGCCATTCATTGCAAAGTTTCAGGTTCCTGGCATTACAATGCCCCTGGTCAACCCTGGTTTCTTCATTTGCTCAACACTCTGGATTCTGCTTTACTCCCTTAATTTGGCACTTGAAGATTTTTCTCACTTTATTACAAGCTCAGCAAGGCAATTTGAAAGGTATGTTAATAAGATTTGGGCATTTGAAGAGAGTATTTTGAAGCTGGAGAGCTTTTAGCATATCTAGTCTGTCCCTTTCTCTACTAACAGAAGACAAAAATCTTTTCATCTGCTGTTTGTGTATTGAATTGTATACCATCTATGGATTTTTATGTTTGTTTCAATAGGTCCTGGAAGTTTTGGGGTGAAAATGTACAAGTTTTCTCTCTTACAATTAGAGCAGATAAGAACATGCACATATAAAGAGAGATGTCCATCAGATGGCTATTTAATGATTGTATTTATAGACTGGGTGCGGTGGCTCACGCATATAATCCCAGCACTTTGGGAGGCCGAGGTGAGAGGGTTGTCTGAGCCCGCAGGTTCGAGACTTGCCTGGGCAACTTGGCAAGACCTCATCTCTACAATAAATCAGAAAATAATGGTGGTGCATGCCTATAATTCCAGCTACTTGGAAAGCTGAGGCAGAAGGATCACCAGAACCCAGCAGGTCGACACTGGGGCGGCTGTGAGTGTGCCACTGCACTCCAGCCTGGGCGACGGGTGAGACTCCAACTCAAAAAATAAAAATAAAAAATATTGTATTTATTTGGAAATAACCTCATGTTAAATCGTGGTGCATTCACAGAATACATTTTGCTACAATTCTTACCCAGCTAATAAGAGTTGGGTAACATGGAAACATGTTCATAACATACTGTTGTGTAAACTAACTGTTTTGTATAACCTCATAGTTTTTTATTTTTATAAACGTATATATTTAAATTGAGAAATTCTGGAAAGAGACATCCAATATTTTGAGGTAATACATTGGGGATATTTTCGTTTATTTCATGTTGATCTCTACTTTTTAAATGAACAAGTATCGTGTGCTTTTTATGTAAAGGACACAACTAAAGGGATTAGTAAACTGCTTTCTAACCTTGGAGTTGTGTAATAGCATGCATCTGTCTTGTGCAGTAGGGACGTCCCCAAAATGGAGACTGTCAGACAGAGGCTGGATGGCCTCCTGCCCAGGATTGCTGCCATCTTATGATTCGAAGTTTTCATATTTTTTTTTTTTTTTTTTGTCCTCCTGCGAATAGGCCAACCAATCAATGCCTCAGACAGATAAGCAAATATGCATCCCGCCGGAGCTGCCAGAGTTGCTGAAGCAGTTTACCAAAGACGCCATTCGGACGCAGCCACAGGACCTCATCCAGTGGGCTTGCGAGTACGCGCTCGTTTTTCACCTTCAGCCCCCTTGGAGGTGGGGTGGGGAGAGAGGGCCCAGGAAAACTGAGGAGGTTGTCATGGCTGCAGCCAGGGAGTCGGGATGATTAGCATAATCTTTGTGATTTCCAGGTCTTGCATTGCTTTGGTGCTTTAAAATTCACACATCAATACTTCCTCAATCTTGGCGAGGATGGGATGCCCTCTCCTAAGCGAGCCAGACTAAGCAGGAGGACGCCAGGGCAATAGGCCACGTGTCCTGGGACAATTAGTAAGAGTTCGATTTCTATGTCGCATACGCACTACCTCCCAGTACCTCTTCTTTGGCCCTAGTGAAAAGGACTGGAAGTCTCCACTGGGGCTTAACCTGTCTTTCTTCGCTCTCCTTTATCACCACTAGATGGCAGTAGTGCTCCTGGGGGGGAGCGACGATATTGCCCTGGGGTGGATTGGGTGGGGTCAGTCCAGCAGGTTCACTCCTTTAATGAGACACCTTCCTCCACTACTGTTAAAACTCATTCTTACACCCAACCAAAGACATTTGTATCTTGTCCTTGGGGATATTATAGTTATTTTCTTAAGTATTTCTTTGAGTTAATTTTTCCTTCAACATAAAGATGTCCACACAGTACCCGTGACTTTCTGGAGAAAGGAGCCCAAGCAGAGTGATGAGGTCAGGCCTGGCTGACAACGGTGTGCTTCAGATACAGATGCCCTCTTTCAGGACAGACCTCCAGAGGCTGCGCAATTGACAGAGCTTACACAACAATAGCTGCTGGCTTGTTGAAGCAGCTTTGCACAGAAAGCATCTCAGCTATGAAATTGCTTCTTAGACAAACTTGCCTGCTTGAAACCAGGAAACCAGGACTGGGGCAGGAGATGGGAGTTAACTAGACCTCTCGGACCATTTTCAGCCTATTTTTACTGTTTGACGATTCCCTCGGTGTTTCAGTGGAAAAGGAGTGAGAGAGGCTGTTGAGAGGGAACCAGTGATTTGGGAAAGGGAGAATGTCCTCAGCCTGAGATGGTGAGTGGGTGTATTGAGCAGATGGTGGGGAGAAAGTGTGGACACCTTTGCGAAGGCACAAAATGTCATCTAAGAAGGGCCCTACAGGGTCTCTCAGCCAGTGTTGTCGTGCTCCTAGGCTGGGTTAGGATGAGGCTTTATAAATGAAAGGAAAATAAGCCAGCGGTGCTCATAAAAAGAGACACAAATGGGGTTGCTTTGCCTAGTAATGAGCCCTAGTTAGTTTTTCATTCTAAATTTTATATATTACCTCTAAGATTGAACTCTAGCATGAGGAGACTAATTTCTTTTGACATAGCCAGATAGACTGTGTCTTATACAATAGTTTAAAACCCCATTTTATTGTTATTGTGCTGATGTTTTATACTAAGCAAAATGACATTTCTTGGTATTGTCCCTGACATTTATGGAAGAAAACATTCCACTCTTGTAGCCTGCTTGCTCCCATATTGTATCATGTGCTATAAATTTTTTAGACATCCATGAAAAATCAGTTTGTAGTTTAACTGCAATGACAAAAGAAAGCATGACCTAGGAGCATTGTCTTCCACTCAGACACGAAAGGCACTTAGATGGTTTTGTGAGTTACAAACCTGTAGTATTTAAAAGAATAAAACTCCACAAAGTATTTTTTTTTTTTTTGAGTTGGAGTCTCACTCTTTGTCGCCCAGACTGGAGTGCAGTGGCACGCTTGTGGCCACCACAGCCTCTACCTGCCGGGCTCAGGTGATTCTTCCGCCTCAGCCTTCCAAGTAACTAGAACTAACAAAGTATTTCTAAGACAAAATAAGTCCTTAATTCATTGCAAGCAAGAATTTCCCTACATATGTGCTGTCAGCAAAGAAACTCTCTATGAGCATTAGCAGGACACATATCTATTTGTCCTTTGGTAGGCATATATGACAACACAAATTTGCAATATGTGTGAAAAACCGTGGAATTGTTCACTTGCAAATGAAGCTTAATAGCTCAGAGCACTAAATCTATGACTATAGCCTCGTTTCCATGTTTTCTAATGAATTCTGCTAAAAAGTCCAAATATGTTGCTGCTGAGTGTCACGCTTTACCTGGGTAGTCACTTTTGCAGAATGAAATGTTGTGTGTCTCTGCCCCTCCCACTTACATCACCTGAGTCAGGTTGTGAAGCCTGAGGCCACACCACCCCCTTGTCATGCTGTACCTGCACCCACCCCATCACTGGCCTATGGGCAGATTTCTCATGCATGTTGTTAGAGGGGGCCTTAAAGTTCTTCTTCTGCCCTACCTGCTGATGACCTCCTACGGTGACTGGCAGGTATTGCTTTGGTGCCTGTGGTTTCAGCTTTGCATTGCTATATGGCTTAGACACAAGTGGTGGTTAGCCCATCATTGTATGGCTTGACCCTAAAATGAGCTTTTACAAAACTCCCTCTATATTCTTTTTACACTACCTGGATCTAGAGAAAGTAATGGAGGGGAAAAGGCAGGGGAGGGACAGAAGTTTGTGGTTCAGGCACAGTCAATAACCAGTCTTTGGATGGAGAGAGGTCCTGTGTGTCAGAGGCCCATGTCCATCCCCTGCTGCAGGCACCTTCTTTCATCTTGTGCCAATCCTGAAACAGGACTCGGTGCTTTTTTCACATTGCTTCAAAACAAAGCTCACTCCATAAAGTATTGGGGAGAGGTAGACTTTACTGAAATTTTTGAGGGAAGATAGAAAACGGTTTTATTGTATAAGCTGTCTCCTGTTCTTTGGCTTGTCTCCTTTCCTGAGCCTCCCATAATAACCTGCGAACCTTCTCTTCCTTTTCTCTTGAAACCCCAAGCCTCACTACTTCCAGCCAGAAATCCTTCTTGAGTCACCCCTAAAGCACCTCCATCTCTTCCTCTCTCTCTCTTCTTCCCTCCCACCCTCCCTTCTCT